TGACCATGAAGGTATCCGGCGCTGCGACAAAGACTCTTTCTATGAACTCTATGGACGGCTGGGTCGTCTTGCTCTATTCTCTATCTCTCGTCCTGCACTACTCACGACGGCGATTCTCGTCGTCGTTGCGCTATACGTCTACTCTTCTCTCATTTTTCACGCTATTTTGGTGAGTTGACTCTTTCCGTTGATCGCGGAGCGCGTATAAGTACATGCGGCATAGTACAGTACTGCCAGTACTCGCGTTGCAGTGACCGCTACTCGTTTTCCAACTACACCCTGACATCGTCCGGAGAGCGGTCGCGCTTTCAGGCTTTACATCGAAGCTATGATATTGCTTGGTAACATTCTCATGTAAGTGCTATTGTTCCGTGGTCGGGGAAGGTGCCATACTCACTAGAAGAGTGGTCGTGCAGCGTCTGGTTCCTCTTTGTAGACACCCAACGGGACTTGGAGATCTTCCTTTGCTGGTAACCAAGTATACCAAAACTCCTCCGCTCCGCAGCGCCTTAAGCTTAGTATCCGGTGATAGACATTTCAAGGCGTCGAAAACGATGATGACGAACGTTGTTTCGACTTTAGGGTGAAAACGTCGTAGCTTAAAGTTTGCGCGCGCGTGCAAGGCGGCCGAACCAATATCAGTGAGTGACGCACTAAGCACTCGTATTCTTCACGTATGCAATGTGACCACTGCGACGCTGCCGTGTACTGCGGTACAGCTTTCGCTCGTATGCTGACTTTTCAATGCTTGAAGTTCGTGGCGCGCTGTAATGCGTGAATATGGACGCTTTGTGTCTTTCCGACAGCAAGACTTGATCTTCTGTAAGCACCTATACTGTATCAGCATGTATTCTCTTCTCATTCACGAAAGAACTAGTATCCGTGTGCCGGTGCAAGACCGTCGATTTGCCGAGAGGCTTCCGCTTCAAGTTCTCGCTCTGCCGTTTGTTCCTCTCAATATGATAGTACTACGTGAACTTGGTATACTGGTGAGTACAAATATTGTTGCCTCGTCCCATCCCGCCCTACAGCTGATGAACCAAGTTGGCTGCTCCAGGAGATAGCACCCGTATGCACATCAAGACTCTTGGATGCTAGCTCGTCTTTAGACAGAACAGTATCATTCAATCATTGTGATG